ATTGTTGGCTGTGACATGGTCACTCCTCAGCTCTGTCACCTCCTGGCTCTGTTCTCTTCATCACTTGAACCACATGCTGAGAGTCTGTGATCACAGGGACACTGGGATGACAGAGCCTTGTCCTGTGCCCAGGATTGTGAGCAGCCAGGGCTGCTGTGACAGGTCAGCCTGGGCTCTGACCTGGCCATCACTCTTCACCCCGTCTTCTCTGTTTATTTCTTGTCTTTTTAGTTTGTATGGAGGACTAGGCCTGTTCTTGTTCCTGTGAATGATGCCTGTCTCATTGTCCCTTGGGCTCCCTGAGTGACAGCATTAAGAGGTGTTTGTCGGGCTGGAGAGATAGCTCAGAGGTTAAGAGCACTGACTGCTCTTCCAGAGGTCCTGAGTTCAATTCCCAGCACCCACATGGTGGCTCACAACCATCCATGATCAGATCTGGTGCCCTCTTCTGGCCTGCAGTCATACATACTGTATACATAATAAATAAATAAATCTTAATAAAAAAAAAAAAGAGGTGTTTGTCCATCCTTGTCCCCCAAGGCCCAGCTAAGCCCCTGACTCAGGAGACTGTGGGCTGAGGAGATGAACTTCAGTCTCCTGAGCATCTGCCTCCTTCCAGGCCCCTCCCTGAGGTTCTCTCCTTCCCCATCTTTCAGAATCTAACCCGGGTTGTAGGATGGGCAGAGAGGAGGGATCCACAGGGTCTCATCTCAGTCTGTCCTGTTGGAGCTGGGTTCTGCCCAAGGTCCCCTCCCCCTCTCTGTCTCTGGGAATCCTAGTGCTGCCCCCAGTGGTGACTCAAGGATTTACAGGCTGAATCTACTCTAGATAAAGTTTATTTAAAAGAAATGATCCCAAGCACTGAAGATTTGGCTGAGGGGTTAAGAGCACTTGCTGCTCCTGCAGAGGACCCGGGTTCAGAACCCAGCACCCACACCATGGCTCACACTGTCCATAACTCCTGTTCCATGGTTTCCACTGCCTCTGTGGACACCAGACAGGCACATGGTACAAACACATACAGCCAAGAAAAACACTCATAGACATACAATTAATGAACCTTTTATAAAATAGATTGTGGGAACACCAGAGATGGAAATTACTTCACCCCTTCCCCAGGTTCCAGCCCCTACAGTTTTCTAGGTTTGTGACCTTGAGTCAGGAGCTCCAGGAACCTTAGCTGAGATGTTTGAAGACCAAGAAGGTGACAATCTCTGTCATGATGCTGACATCTTTGTCTTGTGAGGGATGATGACTTCCAGTGCCTGGGACCCAGCAAACATTCATACTCAATAAACTTTTGATGAATGAATAAAAATAAATAGGATCATGGATCAGAAAGGCAGGTGGAGAGGGAGGGAGGGCTTTCCTGAGGGGAAGCTCAGGTGACTCTGACCTCAGTGTGAGGGGACCTGGTGCTGTACCTGACACACCAGCATGTGGCCTGAGGTTGTGTTAGTCAAGGGAGCTTCTGTAGAAGAGGGAGATGAGTGTGTGAATTTTCCTTTAGACTGAAACATCCCTGCTGGAGCCAGGAGAAGCTGTTTTTATTGTATATAATCTTACTATGTTAAAGTTAAAACCTTTTTTAATTAGACAACAGGGGGGAATGCTGTGGAATAATCTGTAATGATTTGTCACTCAATTTGGTTTAATAAAATGCTGACTGGCCAGTAGCCATGCAGGAAATAGAAGCAGGGTGACCAAATGAAGGATGATGGGAAGG